AAAAAGATTTCCTTCACTCCTAAGGCAATAAAAAGAAAGCTGTTCTAGTGTTGGTAGCAGCTATTCAACCGTGATTTTTTGTACAGGTCGATGGTCGGCTTCGCACTGCGCGTGCTAAGCTTGCCTGTGATTGGTCGATCGTCCCTAACGACCAATCACAGGCGTTCCATACCCGAATACTGACGGCTAGCAATTTTCTCTAACTAATTTGTCATTTCAGCTCACTCCGCGAAAGAATTTCGACGGCAGTACACTGTGCTCGAGGAGATCGGCCGTGGCGGTTTCGGTATCGTCTATCGAGCTGTCCGAATCGCTGACGGTCTGCCAGTGGCTGTGAAATTTCGCGAACACAAAGCCACGTCGCGAGAGGAACCTTGTAATTGATCGATATTGATTTATCGACAAACATCAACAATCAGAATGTTTGCATTTCAGACAGGCAACCAATTGATACCCTCGGAGAGTATGTCATCTGGAAACGTGCAGCGATGTCCCGGGTGTGATTCAACTGATCGATTGGTTTGCCAAGTGAGTTTTATTGATTCCGATTCTATCGAAAATCGATCGAGATCACAGTTTCTGGCTTGTTTCGTCTTGTTATCAATAATCAGTCGATATCACTCTGAGCGTAAGATTTCAGCTCGAAAGGCTTTCTGATAGTTATGGAGCGACCAGAGAACTGCATGGATATCTTCGACCTGATCTCGACATATGGGAAACTTGACGAAGGTAAAATATCTTATTTCACTCGTATCAATTTACTTTACATACCCTTACGATAGAATGTTAATCAGAGTAATCTGATCACTACACAATCTATTTATTTGTTGTGACGACTGCTGGGCTGGAGAATTCCGGGTATGAGGGCTTTTTATATCGATTTGATGGAATTGGATTACAGTAAAATGAAAAATAAACTAAATTCAATTCAATTCGAAAAAAAATAAAAAATACAATTGGATTAAATCAAAACCTTTTTAGCCTAGTTAAAGGAGCAGCTGGACTAATTTTACCCACATTAATAACCCGATTTCGGAGCTCCTAGTCGAATTTAAAGGCATATTCCACTACTCTCTAAACTGGGACCCTTTTCGTGTATGATATATCTGGAGTGAAGTCGCAACCCGAAAAAGTCACTTTCTGACCCAGAACCTATGGCGAAGGCGCCACGGGCTTATGATTTACATACCCTTTCGAAAACCAGATGCGTGTCGAGTGCAGACTACACACTGCAAGTGGCGATGGCCTTTAAGTAGAGCTCGGTAGCTAGTGCTCTTTGTGATAAGCTGATAGTTGATAAAATATTGTAATTAGTGGCAACATAGAATACAAAACCAACCGGCTGTCATTTCACTGGTAGGAAACATTTACATTTTGCGGAGGCCGTCTGTCAGATTGTGGTGTGTGTGGTCTGCACACGACGTGCATCTGGTCCCGGAGGCTCAGTATACACAGAACGTGGGCCTTCGACCAATCCAGCCTAGGAGGTTTCATTGATATTTAATTTTTCGAAAGTGATTCTTTTTGAGTCCACTGATTTTCGAATGATCCTAAAGGCAATGGTTGAATCTTCAATTCATGCACTCCCAACTGATCCACAGTTGATGTTGCAATGGCATCTGCGTCTCGCTCGTCCCTGCGCTCTCTCATTGTCTGGTCGCTGCCTGGAAAAAAGCTCTCATTTTCAAGCTATAAAGATTAAAAAAACCAGCTGGAAACTCTTCTCTCACTTCGAGCCTAACAATCACACCTAAATAGACGCAAAATGTCCCTCTAAGTATCATATATGTATCCATATACTGAAGAGGTTATGTTTAGATTCAGCCCGAGGTATTTTTATTCAAGTAGTGGATGCCATATGTGCAATGTACGTGAAGCATGGTCTGATTCACCGTGATATCAAGGTGAGGACCTAGTTTTCTATTTTTTCTGCTAGTCTTTCATTTTTCAGGTGTTTTGAATGCATCTAAAGACCTCATGGGAATTTATAGCATAGTATCCTGTTTTCCTTATGGTGGAAAAGAAGGCTATCGTGATTGCGGACGTGGTAACACATGTGGCGTCAGAGAGCATCAAAAAACGCGCATTATTGATTTTTTTCGTGTCATCGCCGCATGTGCCATTAGGTCTGCAAGCACGATAGGCTCCGACTGGAGACAGGGATTCCAAGGTTTCCAGCTCGATAGACCCTTAGCGGCCGGAACGATTGAGATCTCCATTTCAAGTCTTTTTTTCAATTGACTCCAAAAGAATCCAATTTTTTCTCGAGTCATATTTATTGACTGTCGGTTTCAGGACGAAAATTTGATTGTAAATATGACGAACGGCGAAGTGAAACTTGTGGATTTCGGAGCGACAGCTCCTGCGGAGAAGGCGATGAAGAAGGAGTTCCAAGGTAAGCGCCTACTCTTGAATTGTTAAGTACTGGTAGAATCCGCATATAGAATCCACGACTGAAAGGTTTCCAGGCACTATCGCAAGATACGGGGGCATCTTCAGCATAGTAGGGAACAGGAGCTGCCGGGAGAATGAAAATTACTCATGCACTTTGGATTCTCTCGTCCCTTGCCCGATGCTTAGTTCCAATTTTACCAAGAACAGGGGTTTTCACGCGGTTTTGAATGCGCTGCCACCACAATGCCCCGCATCTTGCGATAAGCCGCCGGCTTCCATTCGTATAACTTCGTATAATGTATGCTATACGAAGTTTACACTGGCATCTTCGATTATATAATATTCTTGACACCCCTAGTTGCCTATGAAAACAACGAAATCGACTTTCCGGCGGTGCGAATTCGATTGCTCAAGATCAACGGCGGCTGATCTTGGCGAAAGGCTTGGAATGATGATGAAAGGAACGAAAGGGATAAAATGGGCTGTTACAGAGGTGTAATTGGTAGAGAGATACCGGCAGGTTCAGGCCTTGTGCCTTTTGCATCTCTTTCTTCCGAGGACAAGAAGGTTGGGTGAAAAGTTCCTGGACGATTTTGACGGGGAGGTGGGCACAAGGGTTAGGCTTTCACGTGGCCAATGTACCCATTTGATATGGGTACACCACACCGAACTTCTAGAGCTACCTTATTCATCTTTTTCGAAGTTGATGCCGAATTTCCCTCGAACTTTCCTCTTTGCTTCGTAATCTTCAGTCTCATACGGGCGCAAATGTTTAATTGGGGGGGGGCAGAGGGGATGAGCCGGTTGTGCTCAGGTAGTCGTTCTGGAACCTGTAAACCAGGTGCTGTTGACAAAAAGTTCTGATTCTTTGTCTTGTCTTCAGCCTAACTGCTACCTTTTTAGCGTTAAGTTGTCGCTGACCCAAGAATAGCCTCTTTCGGCTGGCGCTCTGTATTCTTGAGCATACTTGAACGATTTAATCTCACTGACTGAACTGAATCGTGCAATATTTTGAATATGAGGCTTTTGTCAGGTACGCGATCGTTACATGTCCACGGAATTGGTTTCGTCAGCTGCCAGTACTGCCGTTGGAGGCGACCAGTTGGTCGCTGGGCGTACTGCTGTTCATTTTGGTCACCGGACAACTGCCGTTCAAAAACGAGATCCAAATCTGCTTAGGACGAGTGAAATTCCCGTCGTATCTATCGAAAGGTTAGTGGCTAACCGCATTTCATTATTTTGTTATTCATTTCGTATCCAAATACGGCAGGAGAGGGGTCGTTTCCTGGAATTTATAGGACGAGGAATTTTCTCGGGAATTGCAAAAAAATTAGTGAAATTTAGTGAGCTTTTGGAATTTCTGTGAATTTTGCAATCGCCAAATCCGCACGCACATACCTTCCCTAGGGGAATGTGCAGGGGTACCCGACAAGAGGCCCGTCGCGCGGCAAGCCAGCGGACAGGGCGCAGCGCGTGCTGTGCGATGGTACATTCTATTTGACTTGACGCGAATCACTACAGTACGCGCTGCGACTCGTTCGCTGACTCTGCTTCTTGCCGCGCGACGAGCCTCCTGACGGGTACCCAATGCGCGCACCTGTGGGATATCAGCACGTATGATGCAGGCTCCAAGGTAGGCTGGCGGTTGGTTCATAAGAAAGGGCGCTGTCGCAAGACACTACGATGGCAGTGCGTTTGAGGCCACTTGATACAGGTCTTTTTTGACCGGGACTGAGCCATAGGCGGAGGAGGTGAGATTTAACAAGTTGCGTGAGCAATTTTCATTTTCCCCGAAGTTCCTGCCCCTTCTTAGTCGTAGTCCTGAAGAATGCCCCGGCATCCTGCGATAGCGAAGGTTAAAAAAGTTCTGAAATCAGTGAAATGCGGCGGTTTACTAGGGTCCAGGCTGCCTTAGTTCCTTCTTTGCTGCTGCATTTGAGTCCTTCGGATGTTGTAAAGCCATTAGATGTTCACATAAGCAGATAGAATCAACGTAATCAATCACATGGGGTGCAAATTGAAAAGTCAATATGGGTGGTTCTTAACCGGATGGTGTCACATCCATAGTGCTAGAACCTCTGGTGTGTTCTCTATCTGACTTAAAGGCCGTGTGCACGACAATTTTTTCGTCCAAGAAACGATAATGAGCTTATTCCTAAGTGAAGTTAGTTGCCGGAGCAGCAATATTTAGCTTGCTCCGCAGTGAATGGCGCCTCTGATTCGATGAAGTCCTTAATATTTTCCAATTTCCTTTCGTGCTTTGGCGCGCCTTCATGATCCCCTCACCTCCGGCCTTTATCTCTCTGTGCTCTAGCCCTTGCGGCAGAGAGCCAGATCACGATGTTTATTATGGCGAATCCAGCTATCATAGGATCTTAGCCAGCTCCGAAATAGACAAATAAGGGTGACATTATGCGGGTTCCACGCTGCTCCTTCTGTCTTCTTTCTCACTGCCGTCATTTTCGATCGCCAGCGGAATTTGCGTACCCGGCACCTTAAATTGGGTTGTAAATTATGCCCAGTTTTTGTGCTGATTGACGTCAATTGGCGGTGAACCTACATATATCAGTTCTCTGCGTCATCCTTATGTGCTGTCATTTTACCGGGGTCTTGAGAGCCGAAGTTGGCGATATTAAGTTCTTATAATTGCACACAGGGTCGAG